GAAACTTGCTAATTCGCAACGGGCTGGTTAGTTTCATTCATCTTAAACGAGTTCAATGGAAGAGACAACGTGCTTAGAAATATTAGAGTGCTTAGACTCCTTTGAAGTGGGAACTGGTGAAACCTATCCACGAGTCCATATCTAAGTCGTACTGGCCAGACATTGGGATTCCTAAAATAATTCCGCCGGCCGGAATTGCACCAAAATAACTGCACTAAGTTATGGACGTCAACCGGCCGACTTGTGCACAAAAACATACCAAATTTCTTAGCCCAAATAAGGGCTTTCGCATTCAACAAAAAACGACACTCACTGATTCAAAATTGCCGAAAGCTTCTTGTTTTTTAAACTGCTTTGGAAGAGACTTGCATGGTAATACTGCTAGTCCCGCATTTCCAACATTTACTCCTAATTGTATGCTCATTTTAAAATAGGATGAGTTAAATACAGTATTGAACTGCTGGCAATCCGTTATTCTTTCATTTTTTTTATAGACGGTGTGCTGCCTCGTGGTTTTTTTTACCAAACTTCCTCTATTGGTGTTAATAATAGGTTCGAATTTTTCGGGTACTTTGAAGCGTCAAAAGGTCAGCTCGTTCTAATGGACCTATGAGGTACCAGCGTTTACATTTTGACCGTGGTCTGTGGCCTTTCTTCATGACTGATAATTTTGCAAAACAACCAGCTCGCATTCCACTTCAATTTTGCTACGTTTGCTTTTTTCTGTTATTCTCACCTAAAATATATCAATATTATGCCTGGATGGTACACCGAGTCTACGCCGTACAAATTTGACCGACCATATTTGTACTTTAACTAGGCATGCAATTGAGTTCCTTTTTAATTAAACTTATTAGGGACTTCCACTTCCACTGGCACAGATCACACAGAGCACAGACGAACAATGAGCAATCACTATTCAACTCACATCAAATGACACCCGAGTTGCCACATAACCGGCAGCCACAAGTCAGGCAAAACTTGTGTCTCTTCGAACAATGTACCTCTGGTTTATTCACAGTAATTCCATAACTTTTATCTGATTGTTATATAGCAATTACGTTGCTGTTTGTTCTTACTTGACACCGAATCAAGCCACGTGAAAGTTTATTAAATTTCAATTTGTGTCCTAATAACAAACTGAGATTTTATTCCATTTAGTCGATATGTTTACATGATAACTTTGTATTAAAAGACAAAGGCCGATACATGTATAAAAGTGAGTTTCGCGGAATAAACTCTGAATGGAAACGTAAACTAACATACTGCAGTCTTTACATGGCAAGAGAGAAGATTGGTTCAGGATTTAAACTATGCGTATAATCAACGGCTGAATGCACGAAAACTAGCAAAGATGAAACAGAGACCGCAATAGCTGACTGAAAGAACTATCAATAATTTGTACAACTGTTTTCAAAATTTTCCATTCAAAAAGCATTGGCAATCTTCCAGGGGTGGATCATTTTTCTTCTCCTACCATTAGTCTGATAACTGATGCTTAACCACAAAAGGAGGCTTGCTAAAAAGCTTTACGAATAACTGTGACAAGCCCACAAAATCAATACGCCTAAAAATAATTTTCACCGTTAATTTCAATTGCTTCCTCATCCCCATCGACTATGTGACCGCCAAAGAATTAGCAAACGTTTTAAAGAACTAAACCATGCCCTGCTATGTGGGTCGCATTAGCAAAGCACTTTAAATCAACGCTCGTCCATCTCATTGAGGGATCCATATTTGTTCTTCGCGTATATATGGCTTTGCGAGAATTCCAGATAAGCGGCATATTTAGGATACAAAGGCCTTTTTTAAAGCACTGAATCTGTTTTTCATAATACAACACCACAATACTTCTGACTTGGGCGTACAGAATACGTAAGAATTTAGGAGCAGGTAAATCTTTTACATTTCCGTTTGATTTTTCATGCCTGTCTGCTAATTTTGAAGAAAATGAATCATTTACGTACTTTTGGTAGATCAATATTTTTGGATGCACCCGTTTTATCTGGCAGTTTGACGCCACCAAGATCTAGATTAAAGGACCACGTTTTGTGAACTACATTCCTACACCTCATTTAACTGATTACAGTGGTCAGTTTCTATGCTCACTGCTTAGTTGAAAATAGTCCTTTGCGCTGGATGATTTTTTTCAAATTGAGGAGGCCCTTTCCACAAATGGCGTCTTGTTCCTACGTATTGGACTTGTTTTCTCGGTATTCTACGTTAAAATCAATCTTTCCTTGATGCTTTCCCACCAGCTCTCTATCCTCTCCTTTTTTATAACTGCTAATCAGGCTGTTTCACGTTCATTGTTGTACGGGAATTAGGCAGTAGTATTTAACACTTGTAACGCTGTCGACGACAATAGGGACTTTGGAACCAGCATCCAACAGTTCAGCCAAGCAATCTCATGAGATTAACCAAGATGCTCACTGGTTGAAATTGATATCTTGTCAGTAGATGAGACCATCACGAAATCATTTGTGTGCCGGGGCAAACTGTGAGACATTTCAAACTCAACCCAAAACAGTGCCCGGAAAAGTGACGTAAATTGGCTTGAGAAACTCAATAAAGTCTCTTGGTGCAACTGTTTTCCGAATTAATGATGCTCATTCATACACCAAAGACGTTCCTGTTTACTTCAAGGTTTTGATGGTCACATTCTTCCTGTAGTTTGAACTGTGTTGTAACCCTGTGGACCTGACTTTTCCTGAAGTTTTTAGTGGTGTTCATTTTTAGAACTACTTGATGTGCTTACTTTGGCTCTGACTGGTAATTCGTCTTTTTTTATCGCTGAAAACGTTAGACCCAAAAATAACCGGTAAACCCATTTCAGCCTTACTTACGCCGCCCCGGGATGCGATGCGAAGAATAAAGCGAACAATTATGAGCTGAAAGCTGGTTCCGGTCAAGTCGAGCAATTTCTACCGCAAAAGTCGGCGAAGCTGCGTTAGCAGATCATCCCGATGCCAGCAGCAAAAATAGCGTTTTTGCATTCTTCCTTTGTAGTCAAGTTCGGGGACAGGACATGTGTGATTTCAGCCAAGCATTTCTATGCCGCTAGGTGAGTTTGAGCTTGGCAAATCATCTCACGTAAATGTCCTAAAACGTAAGACTACCAGACACGGTGCAAAAGTGATGATTGCAACCTCAGCGTTTCACAAGTTCAAAACGTTTCTATTGAGCTTCAATATATTTGATAGCAGTTTATCGAAACATATATGGACTAGCAATGTTATTTTGGTTGAGTGTCAAAGTCGAGACAATAATACTCCAAAGCAATCACATGAGGTTCTCGCAGGTAAAAGCTTTAAGAAACAAGATGGTTACCTCAGAACACTCATAATACACAGGGGCAATGCGGAATGCTTTCCGGCATCTGAATTCATACTAAAAGTAAAGATCATAGCTCTTCATCACAGTATTCTGATATGTTTTTTCCTCTTTTTAAACGACTGAAATTCCATCACAGGAATTTCACATACCGTATTATGGTATTGGACATTTTGCACTCCCTCCTAAACCCTATTTTTTGCACAACGCAAAATACTGAAACCTTGGAAAAAAATCGAAAGAGAAACTTAATGGTCTATTATTTTTCTAACAAGGCCGCGGAATTTACAGTTATGTTCTGGTTAGTCTGCGTTCCTTATGTGTAATAAGGCAGAGCGGATACAAACTACCGTTGACGTGGATCAAGCATAGTTGACCAAACCCCTCGACATTCCTTCCACCTGCAACAGGATGATCAGATATCATCTTTGTCACATGTGAATAAAAGCAGGGGTCTCAATAGATATTCCTGTTGTACAGAATCACAATTCGTAAAGTACTAGCTCGCCTGTGCAACCACGGCCAGCTCACTGTAGTCTTTCATCAATTATTGACGTCTCCCACATTTTAGAGAAACCGGAGGACCAAGGTCGACGTAGGTCAAGGAAAGTATTCTCATGAGTTGCAACGTCCCAGACGTCGGGTTATTTACAGAAAGATTCGAGGTAGCAACCAAAGTTGAAAACAAAATTCATCTTTTGAGATTTCCATGAAAAATCATAGTTTTCAAAATATGGTATTACACTTTTAATTCTTTTGATGAACTGTGGGTTTTAAGAGTTTTACTGCAAAGTTTAACGATGCATGTACTTGAAGAATTGTTCGTAGGTCGGAATTTTCATATCAGTACGCAAGAGACAGTTTCATCTTCCGTCTCACATCATACGCCTTCAGCATTTAAGGGGTCCACATGGAATGTTCCAATTACGGCGCCTGGTCACCATACGCAGTTAGAGAAAACACGGCTTCCACCGCCTGCAATCGCAGGCTGTTTGCTAAGTTGGCTTGAGGCCTAGTCACCGAATGAAACCAACTGACCCGATAAAACAAGGGATGCTGCGATCGCTCGTGTCAACATGCTGGGGGAACGGTTGTTCACACATCATACATAGGAGATTGGTTTTGATACAGGGAATCTATTTTAGTTAGATACAACATATAATACTTATTTATTGCAAGCTTGAACTTTATCGGATGTAAGAAGGTTACTGTCAGTCAATCTACAGTTTCACGAAAAAAAGCGTAATTTTTGACCGACTTCGTTTAATCCGTGTGACTCCCCCAATTCATGAACCTATAAAGTGTGCTCAATCTGTTTGCTAATTCTTCACGTCCACTTACCAAAATAATTGGTGTTTGTTTCATCTCCGTCAGTTAAGCTGTTATGTTCGTCTCCACACTATGTGCAAAATGCCACACTGTTAATTTGTGGTTAAGGCTTCCTCACATGATTTCTGGTCAACCTGAAAAATAAGCCAGACCTCGCTCATCAACTGTTGTCATGCAACTTACTACAAATATAGCAATGTTTAACCCTGTTGCTCCCCAAGAACTACTGTCTAAACCGCATCCAAAAATAAGATTGGGCTTAACATCAAATAAAAAACATGACGCTTCGTGTCTCAGTATCTAATTTTGACATTTCCAACCGTTTGGAATCGACTTACCTGCAGGCCAAGCAAAAACGTTGATCGAACTTTTAACGACCGCAGTGCCGCCAATCCGGCCAGGGTGTATAATAGGCCAAACAGAATGAGCGCACCGAGTTTCACGTGCATGTCCACCAACTGGTTAATGGACTGAATGAGTGAGAGCCATCGTGGATTAATGTACATAGCCAACACGGAAATGCAAACAATAAATCCGGTAATAATAAGTAAAATATTCGAAGCAATTGTTGCTTGACGCCAAGTTTTGGCGCGTTCCATTGTCCGCCGTTGTCTTAGTAGGTCCAAAATACCCATTCTTGGGAGTACGGTAGCAAAATGGGACCCGAAATTTCCCAGACTGAATGAACCAGACCGACAAGTCAAAATACCGACTTGAAATTCGGTCGGCCTGTCGTCACTCGGCCTTTTGGGAGAGCGACTTACAGTTAATGCGCGACATCACCGACATGGCAGAACATGGACCAACCACGCAACAACATTCTACCCAATCACGTGGAACACCCCCAAGGTATTTGCTTAGAAATTTCACGTAACAAACCTCCAACCAACCGTATTTCCCCTGGAAAACAAAACTATTGGATTTGACTTGACCGTAATCCCCAAATATTGTCCTTGTGGCTGTATACCATTGCAGCGAGACCTGAAAAGGACTAAAATACTTTTTCTGAAACCAGTCGTGCAACTTTAAATGACAAACTGTTTTGTTCTAGTGTTCTCGCTTTCTGAAACTACCCTCAGGAGGGATTATTCGTATTGCTGCTGGATGTATGCATAGGTTGAGCAGTTACCTATTGTTATTTGGGGGCCCAATCTGCAGCTGCCTTCAATCCCCCATTTTTGTTGAGTCGTGACTGCACTAAAAATGACATCCGTCCGTTGCACTGAAAAATCTGCATGCCACTTAATAAGAAAACACTTTTGTGACTAACATTCATTTGAGGACCCTGCGTTGAAACCTATTAATATGACTTCATTACCACATATAGTTTACTATTGAATGGTATATTGGGCGTTGCCTAAATCAGTCATATTAATAAATGTCCCAAGATTCTTAATACCCAGACAGTAAATCTAATTTGGTATTTTCGCCCCGAACCGGTCAGTTTGATGGTTCCACACCAAATATAGGAAGCACTGAACTTGAATATCACTTCCATTATAGCACATCAGCAGTGCGCACAGTCTGCTTTATAAGGCTTCAAATTCCGGCGAGGTACCACAACTTCAGCAGCGCACGCTCAAAACGGCTGAGTTGGAACTGCAGAACAGGTGAACGCGTTGATACGAGCGATTAAATCGGTTTACCTAAGGCCTCAAACGACGACGCGGTAATCGGTTTCCTTAATGACCAGTCTGTCGGGGACGCCTGTCACGTGCCTACAGGGACGCTTGAAACTTTTTCTGATTGACTGCAATAGAAGGGTAGGGACAGCGTGCTTGCCTTGTACGTCACATATCGGAGATTTTAATTCCAACACCGATAAAATATGCAGCGCTGAGGCGGTCTAATAATTGTGGAGCCCAACTTCAATGTTCCCCCTTTTTAAGGTGAACTCCTCCTGCAGGGCAGGATGAGGACTGCTCACGCACTAGAGTTATGAAAATGTATTTTTAGAAATTCAGCAACCACCTACAATGGAGCCACTTTCCTTTGTCGTATCTTACTTATTAAGAGTTACGCTATGCAGTAACATATATGACCAACCAATCAAAGTCCATTGATTAAAGTTGGACTTTCTAGGACTAATGGTGACACTAAACATTCAGACAGCCTTGTTCCTGCCCTTCCGCGGTTAGTCTATTAGTTTAAACCCGCATGCGCCAAGCGCTATACTCATTCTCTGTCTACCTTAAGGCTAATCAGCAGTACACGTTCCCGGCTTCTTTGGGACTTGAGCCCTGGTTATGTGACGTTCACGTTAGGTGTCTCACAAATTCGCTCGCACCAATCGACAAAACGTCATTATCACGTACAGTCAAAAGTGTTTACGCTCGACCAATTAATGTGATTCGCCTCAGAGCTCGAACAATGACCCAGTGCCGGTCATGACCTCTCCTGCAGATTACCCACTCGTCAAGTCTTCATTTATCACGTACAGTCAAAAGTGTTTACGCTAGACCAATTGTGATTCTCTCGAGCAACGACCCAGTGCCTGTTATGGCCTCTCCTGCTGATTACTCACCCGTCAAGTCTCCAATCAAAAGATGTTATGCTAGCTCTTAACCGCTTCGACTAATTTTGACCACCAAAACTTATTGACAAAATGAGGATGGCAACTAGGTCATTTCAAGCGTTGAACGAAACAACGCTAGTGCATGTGGATGTTCGTGCCTCTTCTGACCTGATAATGATGGAGCACTTACGGAGCATACTTGTCTCTTCTCTAGTATAATCAAACCAGAATAACGGAACCAAGGTAGAAGGAGGCCTATTAAGGTGTGCATACAAGGAATTCTGTAAGCCATTTTTTACCGTACATCTATCAGCTCATTGTGGCATAGTTCACTCAGTTGTCCATCTGGTGGATCCATTCAGAGATCAAAGGCAGAGTTTGTCTGGAGAACCAACGTCAAAATTTCTGTCTGCTCGTCCGATATAACACTCATGGCAGATACATTGGAGTGACCGATACAGTGTAAAGCTGAGATAATATCCAGAACTATTTAGTGTAACTGAAAAACAACCTGAACGTGATAAAAGGGTGTCATATCACATCCCCGATGCCTTCCAAAATACTAATAAACCTAGTTGCTGAGTCACCAGATGTGCTCTTAGCCACAACTAACTACTGAAGCAACAGTCAGCACGGTCTTAGAAAGGGACCATACTACTTGACGAGTAAGTTAAATTTGATGGATGAGCACATGGACCTCGTAGTTACTTCGATATTGATGAATGTCGCTGTTATTTTACGAATCAAACAAACAGTCAGTGAAGGCAAAATGCTACCGACCCCACACCAAAGACTGATTTCGGCGCTCCGAAGATCACTGGTTTGTCTCAAACAAATTTATTTCTGCATCACCAAAGCCCACCATTAAACATGCTCACCCCTATTACTCTGAGCTGGCAACAGTAGAACCTTGTACCTGGTCACCTGTATCAATAGCCGTAATGATAGCACGTACCCTACCCAAATTTCCCACAGGCAAGGACATAAAACAAGCTCAATTTCAACGTTCAAACTGTTAGATAGCTTACATACCACACTGACGAGCACACAACTGCCACTTTGGTGGTAACCCATCAGCATAACTCAACGGTGAGTATGACTTGACACGTTCGCCACTGATGACCGCAGTAGAGTAAATGTTCAGATGGCGTTCGTGGGTTCAAGACTTCCAAGGAGAACCTAAGTCGAGTCCGATTATTCTTCAACTAATTTACTCAGAAAATGTCAGACCACTACTAAAAAACAGCATTTGGACTGGTCAGTCACTTTTCAAAAATGTCACCTCATTCTCTGAATCCGTGCAAGTTAAAACCGATAGGTTCCATAAGAGCCCAGCTAATAAACCCCAGACAAATTTGCCCCTACAATCCTGCACATCTCAGCTTTACTAAAGATCCTACATTCACTGACAAGATCGCATCAAACCCGTAGCCCCTGCAGATACGTCCTAATCCGGGGGACAATCTCACATGAGTGCCATCCTGTTGATTTAAACCATTCGGCTCTATGGTGGTTGAAATTTCATCAAGACCGGTATTGTTTCCGCATCCGATTGTCACATTTCTACAACTTTTTAGTAGAAAAGACGTACATTTCCATTGATATACCATTGTTGTATCGATGATCTGTTTCGTTTATATGGCTGTGGTAACCTCCAAGGTCATCTATTTTCTAAAGTCTAGAAATTTTTACTCCCTCAGTAGGTCGTCTGTGTGTGCTTCAGAAAGCATGAAGTCAATGCACAGGAGAAATTACTAGAAAAATTCAAGTATTTGTATCTTCTGTGCTAGATTCATTTTTCTTCAGATGCCCTCTGTCATTAACTCCTACTAGGCGGTTCCGGAAATAATTTCTAACTAAATTAAGCCAATTAATCCGCTTACGAAATACAGTCATTTATTCAACAACTTCAAATGCATACAAAGTATACTTGTTGAAATTTTAAGGCTGGGAAAAAGGATATCAATGACTTTGACGAGAGTCTATTTCTGAAAATACTTTTACGGAAGCAATTAAATGATAACACAAATGAAAAATTTCAGTTTTCATAAAGGAGACTACTCACAAGATTGCTGAAAAATCTTCGACAGCGCACGACCGGTTTCACCCTTCTTGAGGCTCATCAGGTAGGTGCAGTCCCCGAGTTTCCGTCAACCTTATGTTCTACTCGTGAAAACCAAATCGGTTTGCAAATGAGCGTATTTCTCGAAAAGTTCAGTTTGTTTCAACGCACAAGGCATGCCGATCCGTCACGGTGGCAAATGGCGCATCAGCTCTAGTCACCCAATGACTAAGGCACACTGCTTGCCACAGATGATTGTATGGCGTATACCCAAGCCTGTTTCCCCGCTGCATGTGCTCGGATGCGCGAGTTCTGCAGAAATGAACACGAGTGTTTCCCAGATTTTGGCTTATCCCCAAAATCTTCTGATGCGCGATTAGCCTGTTTCCCCGCTGCATGTGCTCGGATGTGCTAGTTCTGCAGAAACGAACACGAGTGTCTCCCAGATTTTGGCTTATCCCCAAGATCTTCTAATACGCGATTCATCGTTCACTCTCACACAATCCAGCTAGCTTCCCTGTACAGCCCGCTCATGTATAGCCAGTGGTCGACAAATGACACGCTGCAGCAACGTCTGTTCATGCATTCTTGTACCCAAGTAAGCAGCTGCAGCCAGTGGTCGACAAATGACACGCTGCAGATAGTTATGCAACGTCTATTCATACATTCTTGTACCCAAGTAAGCAGCTGTCGGACAGATGAAGGCTAACTGGTGAGGATTTGGGGTGTTAATTTGTATCTTGTTACCACCTGCTATACTACGGGGAAATCGATGACTTTTGAGTTCTTCAGATGAAACTGCACCATTTTCAATGTTGGAATGGGTTTGGTGCGTTATGCACCACGCTGCCTATATGACTGACAAAGTGTGAGGATTTGGTCTCAGCCCAAGGCTGCATTTCTCGTTGTTTCTGGCATTCGTGTAATTTTTTTGCCATGAAAAAGACGCAAGCATATGCTGTCCGCGTCACTAGAGAATAGCTTTTTCACCTACGCAAGGAAACGAGCACTCGGTCCCAAAATTTAAAGTTCTCCTAACAACACTCCCTCACCAGTACCGCCTGCAAGCACCACACTGATCACTCAACGAAAATAATTGTTACAGATTTTCTATTAGGAAGGCAAGTGCTCTACA